AGATACCACAACTGTTTAGCACACGTTTGGTCAAGGGATCGGCTTCACTTGTCTCTTTGACGAGTTGTTGAATGGTGCAAAGAATGGTGAGACTCACTGATGATGCCAACTACGATGCCGGCGAAACGTCTGGGAATGTACCATGTCCATGGTTCTACTCTGGAAATGATGATGCATACAATGGACTCCGGACTAGGTACGTTCATCTAAGTCTTCCTACTAATATGACCATGTTAAGAAAACAAGTTCAAACAGCCTTATAAGCCAGATTGATGAAATTGTTAAATATACATGAAGTGTATTCACTTTATTTCTTTTAAGATGATAAAGGTACTGGTGGTTGAATTTTCCCAAGTAGATGGGTAGACCTTAGGTTTCCATTGAATTTCACATAGACTTGCTTTTACAAAAGGTATTCACATACAAGCTACAGTTGACTGCAGTTTCGACTTCGCCAAGGTCTAATCAACAATCTCAGAGATAGTCGAACCATGAGAGTGCAGTGTGCCACTCAAGAGGCTTCTTGACAATGTGATGGAGTGGTTAGCTTGTCAAGATTATACACTGCACTTTCATGGTTCGAATCCCGCTGTGGGTATTGATAAGACCTAGGCGAGATAGAAACTTCAGCCCACCCTGGATTAGAACAACTTTTAGGAAAGCAAGGCTATGCGAAATTAAATGGAAAAGTCAGTTCTACTCAGGGGAGTGACTTGATTTGTCTCTTTGAAAATTTGTCGCTTGGTGTTAGGACTAGTAGGATCGACTGATGATACCAGCAAAACGACTGAAAATGTTCCAAATTCATAGTCAGACGCTAGGAATTATCATAACTACTATGGCAGAGGACTTCGGACAAGGTGCGTCCAACTAGTTCACCCTGATAACACTATAAAGTTGCGAAAACGAGGTTAAACCATTTATATACAACACAAGGAGAATGCCACAAAAACATATTGGCCTTCGTATCAATGGAGAAAAAATTGTTTCGTAGATAAGAATACTAAGTCAATGGTCTAATGTTGGAAATCGCAAATACTATGGCAGAGGACATTGGACTAAGTAGGCTCCACAAGGTCTCTTTTGACGCTCTCGCCAAGTTGCGAAAACAAGATCGAACCAACACCAAAAAATTGTTTGTTTATTGACAAAAAGTTGGGAGAATTATTTTACATTTTAGCTTTAAAAAGGCACATAGCTAGATAGCGAAAATTATGACAGCTTCTGCCAATTCATGAAGCAGGCTAGAGACATGATTATAAGGACTTACTAATCTCCATCTCCAGTTCTGGAATACGACGATTTAATATTTTCAAAGTATCGTCATAAAATGCAGCTTGACTGCGCAAGTACTCGAGCACCAGCCGACACTGTTTACCTTCCTGAGAGGCAAAGTCATAGATGTCACGAAGCGCTAGTTCCTGCAAAAGATGTGTAATAATTGAATTATAAAATAGATGAAGAGACATACTCAGAAAATAGCTCACAGAAAAGTATTATTCTCTTGATAAAAGTCTAAGCAAGATATAAGATAAACAAGATAATATACAAGGCATGGGGTAAAAATGCATGTGGCCCAAGTATAGTTTAAGACGAGTAGGGAACAAGAATACAATAAAAACCTAGAATCACCCAAGAAGCCTAATTCGCAGTAA